CCTGGGGACCCCCCCTGGCCATATCTCCCCCCCTCCCATAGTGCAGCCAGTGCCTCCTCGCTGCCAGATTCCCCCATTCATGCTCCTAAATGCTGTAGAAAATGCAACTTCCAGTTCCAGGTGCTGCACCCCCCAGTGCTCTGCTTTGCGTCCTCCTTTCAGTTCTCCTCCTCGAGCGCTGAAACCCCCCATAAAGATTAACGCACTCATAAGGGGGCACATGGTCTGCATTAGCCCGCTGAAATGTGCATGTTATTAACACAACTCCTGTTGACAAAGCCACAGGTATTAACACCATAAAGCATTTTGACAGCTGGACCGAGGAGGGGGGGACAGTCAAAGGGCACGAGCGACACCTCCATAAGCTTTTAATTGCTTTTGGAGTCGTGTCTGGGAGTTTCTGTGTCCTAGCAGGCGCCGCCGGTTGAGGAGATGGCCTCGGAGGAAGCTACGTGAAGCGGGATTTCGGCACCGGAGCCCTGGCACGGAAATATCGCTTCACACCGGAGCGGTGAAGGGAGGGGATGCGAGCGCTGGAGATGGGCCCGGCGGCAAGCCTGGATCCAAACCGCCCACGAGCCTGACAGACAGGCTCTGCCTTTCTTGGCCACGGACCCCGTCTGGGAAAAGCCAAACCCCTGGCTCCAAGCGATCCCCAAACTTTGGGCAGCAGTGCAAGCCACGTCTGAGGTCTGCAGGTCCGGCCAACCCTCAGCTGAGCAGGACTGGGGGGGCTCTGTCTCTTTCTGTGTGGAGTTGCTGGCTGAGCAGCACGGGTAAGGAGCAATGAACATGCATGCCCGGGGTTCGGGGTGGCTGTGGGTACACATCTGGACCTGTCCAGGCAGCTGTGGTCCCCCCATACACATCCCCTAGTCTCCCCAGCTCTGCAGGTGTAATCCTACGGGGGCAGATCCAGCCCCATGGCAGCCGGGCTCAGCCCTGACCCAGGGAGCGGCTGCAGAGATCTGAGGGACACCGAAGGCAGCAGGCAGGGGGGTTGGCCAAGGTGCATGATTTTCTGGGGTGAAATCATTAAAATCCACATGGCTGGGACAGCTCTTGCCTCTCCTGTCACCCACCAACCGCCACGAGCATCCCTCAGCCAGCCCGGTCCCGTGCCTGACACCATGGGGATATGGGGGAAGGAGACACCCCCCGCCCCCCAGCACAGAGCCGCAAACATCGCTCTCTTCCCCAGTCTCTGCACGAAACCACTAAAGCACCGACTTTAATATCCTGCCTGAAAGGGGTCCGGCTGCTTAATGACACCTCTGGGACCCTCATCAAATCCTCCCCTGCCAAAAGCCCTATTTCTGCCCCAGGAAGGTGGGTCCGTCCTTATGTGTGTCCCCCTCCCCGGCTGTCCTGCTCCAGGGTTTCCCCCTCTTCCTTGGCCCCCCATGCCCTGAAGTTTTGTCACGCTGAGGCTATGCCCGTCCCGGGGGCTCATGTCAGGGGGAAGAGGGTCTCACCCTTCACTGTGGGCAGCAAGTTTGGAGCTGGGAAGGTTTGAAGGAGATTTTGGGGATGTGGGGTATGGGCGTCTTCTCCCCCTCCTCACCTATTGCCCGAGGGCTCTGGCATCCTTTTTTCCTGGATAAAAAAGGATGCCAGAGCTCGGTGCAGCGGGATCAGAGGGGCTGCACAGCCCATCCCTGTGGGTCCCCCATCACCACC